AGGCCCACTCCTTGAACTAAGCTCTGACATTTGTCATTGCTTGGTGTATTTCCAAAAGGGCCTTGTATGCCTGCTGAAGTCTGGCCACACTGCACAGCAGAGTCCCGAGACCACTGGCCCCCCTTGAACAGCCTTGCACCCATGGATTGTGCTTTCCGCCACCACCTCTCATCCCACACCCAGGGCAGTGTCTCTTGTCTTCGAAGCCCTGATAGCAAAGCTGGGGACAACCCAGAGCTGCATGACAGCAGAGATTTCCCCTCACCTGCTCTCCTGTGTGTGGGGTCTCACAGTGAACAGCAGGGCAGGAGCCAAGAAAGCATAGGCAGCTTTCTTTCAGGGTCCTGCAGCATTGCAGGTAGCAGCAAAGAAACACTTATTTTGGGTTAGCTTAGGCATATCTTTCCTTCTGGGCAGGAGGACACATAGCTCCGTGGTAGAATTAGCAATCATAAGGCTCCAGGATTAGCATCAAGAACCAGAAATAAATAAATAAGTGAAAACCATTTCCCTCTAGAAAGATACACTGGACACTAAAACTGGTGATTATTTGGGGGGTGGGGGCTTCAGGGACTTTTCATTATGCACTTGTTGAAAATACCAAATTTATAAACTGTTTTTAAATCAACCTTTCCAAGGTGTAAGTTATAGTCACCAACTGTACCCTTTAATAAGTGTTGACAAGCACCTACATTTCCATCTCACCACCACAGAGGAGGCTCAGTGCATTTGTCACCCCACAGTTCCTTTGGACTGGTGTCCTTTCCAGTCCCCCCGCAGCCCCTGGCAGCTACTCATCTGACTTCTGTATTTCTGATTTCTGCCTTTATGTCTCCTCTGTGTTTTCATCCGTGAAAAGGGGAGAGTGGTCACTGGAAAGATGGCTCCGTGGTAGAAGCGCATGCTACTGTTGCAGAGGACCCAAGTTTAGTTCCCAGATTCCACGTCTGAAATTTCACAACTGCCAGCTCCAGGGGATCCTAATACTTCTCTCCATGGGTACTGCGCTCACGCATGCTCGCGTGCGTGCAACACACACACACACACACACACACACACACACACACACACAAATGAAATAAGTCCTAAAAACAGAAAAGGGCAGAGGACAGAATCTTTGACACCACTTTACAGACTCTTAATCTAAATATTAATTTGGCTCATAAGGTGGAATGATGGTGCTCTTTCTAAAAATGTAGAAAGAATTCCAATACTTTCTTAGACTATGAGTTGGAGCCTGGCCTCTCTGAAAGGATCTGGATATATCTTTTAGGACTTCTGCGTAATCTGGATTATGGGTCACTCTGGGAGTTTATGCATGTCTAAGTATGATGCTGAACTGCTGACAGCAGCCTCTCTGTAAGTTTTATGTATCTCCTGTCAGGCTGAGGGAATATAGTTGGCCATACACCTAAGATCTGATTTCTGGGCTCTCAATTCTTCACGGTCTATAGTCTTGCTGTACGCAAATGCTGCAGCATTTGTTCAGGGCCTTGGACTTCTACCCACATGGCCAACGGGTCACACATGGGGACAGTGTTCTCCAGCAAGTAGCTCTGCAGCTAGGTGTGGGGGCTCACCCCTGTCATCCCAGCACTGACAGAAGGATTGCCTCAGTATAAAGCCAGCCTGGGCTACAGAGTCAATCCCTGGCTCAAAATAAACAGAAACATCTGTGGCAAGACAGAATTTGTCCATGCAAAAGAAGGATTTCAGATGCTTACTTCATGCCATGAATAAAGATTAACTCACGATTAGGTTGGTGAGACGGCTTGAGTCCTGGTGAGACACCTGTGACCTGCTAGGCTGGCTGATCTTATGTCAGCTCGATACACAAACTAGAGTTATCTGGAAGGAGGGGATTGTAATTGAGAAAATGCCTCCATGAGCTCTGGCTGTAAAGCATTTTCTTAATTAGTTACTGATAGGGGAGGGCCCAGCTCACTGTGGGTTGATGGTCCTGGGTTCTGTAAGAAAGCAGGCTGAGCAAACCATGGGGAGCAAGCCAGTAAGCAGCACCCCTCCATGGCCCCTGCTTCAGCTCCTGCCTCCAGGATCCTGCCCTGTTTGAGTTCCTGTCTTGACTTCCTTTGGTGATGAACAGATATGGAAGGGTAAGCCAAATAAACCCTTTCCTCCCCACCTTGCTCTTTGGTCATGGTGTTTCATCACAGCAACCTAACTAAGACACCCATGTTGCTGCTGGCCTTTTCTCCCCCCGCCCCCTCCTATCTGTCTCTCCCCTTCCTCCTTTCCTGCTCTTCGTTTCAGCCTTATAACTAGGTCAGCTCACTCCCTTCCAGCTCTGCTCCCCCATAAGTTTAGCAGAAAACATCACACCACAGAATGCAAACGCGGATGTGTAGACCACTTTCCACAGTGTTTTTATGGAAAATGTGTTAAATCGGATTGCTTTAAAAGAACTCAATATGAAAGCAACTTACATGTCTGTTTGAGGCACACTGTGAGCATACATTCACATTATCTTTTTATTATATTTATTTGTGTAGGTGTACATGGGTGTGAGTGTGTGAGCCGTGGCGCACACATGGTGGTCAGAGGCAAGTTTGTAGGAATCGGTTTGTCCGTCTAGCGTGTGATCCCAGGAATCTCATTCAGGTCTTCAGGCTTGGCACCTGCTGAGCATCTCACTGGCCTCAGAGCGTGCATTTAAACCTGGAGCATTGGGGCTCATAAGGATCTCAACATTGTCCTTTGTGACTTACCGTTAAGGTCCTTTCAGTTGGTGGCTTCTCCTGGTTTCTGGTTAGTTGACTTTCCACCCTGGACTTGCCTCTTGTTCTGGTTTATAAAATGGCCACCACATCCCTCAGAGATAAGAAACTAAACGTCACATTTTCAAAAGTTCCCAAGGAGTCAGCTCTGACTTAACCCTGGTGCTGGATAGTGTGTGTCAACTTGACACAACCTAGAGTCATCAGAGAAGAGGGAGCCTTACTTTTGAAAGATGCCTCCATGAGATCAGGCAAGTCTATAGGGCATTTTCTCTGCTTTTCTTTTTTTGCTTTTTATTTTATTTTTTGAGACAGTTTCTCTGTGTAATAGCCCTGGCTGTCCTGGAATTCACTCTGCTGACCAGGGCCTCAAACTCACAGAAATCTGCCTGCCTCTGCCCCCCTGAGTGCTGGAATTAAAGGTGTGCATCACCACTGCCCAGCTGGGCATTTTCTTAAGTGGTTTATGTGGGAGAGTCCAGTCCATTGTGTGTGGTGCCATCCCTGGGCTGGTGGTCCTGGGTTCTATAAGAAAACAGACTGAACAAGCCATTGGAGAACAAGCCAGTAAGCAGCACTCCTCCATGGCCTCTGCATCAGCTCCTGCCTCCAGGTTCTTGCTTTTAGTCATGGTGTTTTTCACAACAATAGAAAATGATGGGGTCCAGCCCCAACCTATCAAAGGGTCCCTTGAAGAGGGGAGTGAGGAATTGAGAAATGCTAGTTAAGAAATACAGAAGTAGATGATGAAAAACAAAAAACAGATGCAGGATAGCTTTGGGAGAGTTCTGGGTCAATAACCGGCAGCCTCAAGTTTATTTCTAATGGCCTTTTATACACTAGCAAGGGGAGAGGTAAAAGACCTCTCCCTTCCAAGATCAAAGCACAATGTACAACCAAGTGTAGACCCTTCAAAAACACCTGGTAACCACGCCCCACGGCAAAGCATCTTGTGGTTAGGCCTTGAAGTATAAGACACCTGGTAACCAGGCCTTTGCACCTATGCAGCCTTGGAGAGCAACATAAACTCTGACTCTGGCCTTGAGTCAAACCACAAGCTGGAATCTTTGTGGGCTCCCACAAGAAAACTGAGATGCCCACCTTTAGTCATGGTGTCCATGACAGCAATAGGAATGTAGCTTTATTGCCTCCTGCTTACCTTGCCAGGCTGCTTCATCTTCTAAGCCTGCTTTCATCAACTTAAAACAGGAAGTTCTGGCATCAAGCAAACTTTCAAGCAGATTTGTGTTGTGTTGCTTACTGCAGATGCTGGCTTCTGTGGGAATGCTCAAGGTTTTACCATCATGAGTTTTATTGTGTCTCCCTGATACATACAACGGGCTGCAGCTCCCCATCAGCACTCAATTTTGGAGGCTTTATTGCTTGCAATGAGATGTTTCTGCTCAAGATGGCGCTGTTTCCCCAGCAATGGTGTAATTGCGCATTTTTATTTCTGTGGGGTCTGCATTCAGCACCTAGTCACTAGGCCTAATTTAGAACAACAGTCTCTGCCTTCTGTTATCCCCAAGCTGTCTGCTCTTGAGAAGTCAGTGTAGCGCTGTGGAAATGCACGCTTACCCCCAAGCCTCTATTTCCGTGGGAGAAGCAAGTCAGAGCAACCTAGATTACCCAGCTTTGTTCTGTTCTGTGAGGCTGGGATGGAACCGTGGCCCCTGCACGCCAGGCAAATGACCTGCCACTCGGCTGCACCCTAGCTCTCAGGCACTTCTTTGAACAGTATTTTTATGTTCATTTTGTTTTTGAGATAGTGTCTCATGTGTTCTAGGCTAGCCTTAGACTTATTATGTATGTAGCCAAGGATGACTTTGGACTCCTGATCCTCCTGCGTCCACCTCCTCTATGCTAGGTTCTTAGGTGTGCACCACCAAGCCTGGTTTATACCATGCCAGAAATGGAACCCAAGGCCTTGTGCATGCTGGCCAAGGATTCTACCAACTGAGATACACCACAGCCCTGAGACATGCTTTAGATCTCCCACCTTGCTTTTTTATATTTTTAAGTAAATTTGATTTTAGGCCTCACATATTTAAAGATCTTGTATATCTTGGGAATAAAGAACCTAATATATTTCCCCCTCAAACTTATTACAGTAGGGTGGGTGGGGGTTGTTTACAGTCAAGAATTGCCAGTGTCAGGACCCCTAATAACCATTCCCTCCTCCTTGTCACCCACCAGACATGCATCTTTATAAATGTGTTCATCTCTTGCCTAATGAGTAATTGTTCTGTTCTGTTTATTTTTTAGATCCGGGGATTTCTGTCACGGTTCGATAATGTCCTTCCTGTCAGCCTGGCATTTGACAAATGTACAGCCTGTTCACCCAAAGTAAGTCATTTTGCCTCTGAGCAATTAACCTCAACCTAACCCACCAGGGCCAGTGGGGTGTTTTGTTTTTTTTTTGTATTTTGTTTGTTTGTTTGTTTGGTGTGTGTGTGTGTGTGTGTGTGTGTGTGTGTGTAGAAGAAGGGGAGCCTGGAGGGCTTGATCCTGCTGTTGTTGATCTGCATTCATCTTCTGAGACTCCAACCTTGGAATCCTCAGGTTCTAGAAGGCAGAAAGAGCCTGAACTGGATGCTGGGTTTGTGTCTGCATTGAAGTGCTTTCAACATTAACAGAACCTCTCCTGAAGTTCTGTTTCTCTCCTGAGGATTTCCTTCCTGGAGCCTACTGAGCAGAGCACTTTTTAAGCTTTCCCCAGAAGGTGGGGGGTTTCGGGCAGTCCCGGTTGTGAGTGTTTTGGAGATGTTCCTAATGACAAAGGAAAAGCAAGCAGAGATGAGGGGCCTGGATCGGGAGGCTGGAACAGGCCCCTGCCTCTTTGATCTTTGCAGCAGCTCTAAAAATAGAGCAGGGCTGTTGTCCATCGTAATGGGAACCGGCTGATGCGTCTCAGAGCTCCATGGTATCTCAGTTTCTAATAGGCTCTGAGTTATTCTCGCATGGGTACTGTACGTGACAGCTGATTCCTTTTTGGATGTCCCTCTAAGTCCATGCATTCCTAATGCCGTCAATACAGTTCCTCATGTTGTGGTGACCCCCAACCATAAGATTATTTTTGTTGCTACTTCATAACTATAATTTTGCTACTGTTATGAATATCTGATATGTAGGGTATCTGATCTGCAACCTCTGTGAAAGGTCATTTCGTTCCAGGGGTTGCGACCCACAGGTTGAGAACCACTGTTTTAAGCCTTCAATCTGGCCCTTTTGACTCCTACTTGGGGTGTTAGGCAGAGCAGCTTATGGGGGTCACTCATCCCAGGCTGACATTTCTCAGTTAAAGATCTGGGATTTCCCAGTTGTGCCTCAGTTGGCAGTGCTGAGGAAATTGAATTCTAGGAAAAGTCTACTTAGAGTTGAAAAACTTCACTTGAAAACTGCACACAGCTGAGTCTTCTGAGAAGCCAAGCCCTGACCTGTTTGTCTAACAGGAATTTGGGATCGATAAGCCACAGTGATGAATCTGGTTAAATCTAAGCACTCCCAAGTGGAGAGTGGTTTGTTTTCCTGTCTGCTCTGAGAGTCAACTAAGCCTGCTTTATTGTTGGGCATCTCAAGTGCCCGGTTGAGATTGAAAGCTTATAATTTGTGGGTAAATGACCTCTAAGCTCATTCCTCTTGTTGTGCCTCAAAGTATCCTGTGTCCTCTTTGGCGGGACCCCGAGTGTGGCGATGTGCACATCTATCTGCAGAGACATGGATTTCGGGATGGTGTGCTCCTTAGTAGAAATGACTTTCTGTCTGTCAGTCCATCCGTCTTTGCTCTGTACAGCTGAACTAATTGGTCTCCAAATAACTTGGCAGTATTTTTTTCAAACTGAAACCTTTTGGTGTCAGAAGCTTCCTGCAGCTTTCTGCAGGTCTCGCTCATCGATGAAATGGAGATAATTGGGTTCTAGGGAGAAATGTGAGCCCTCCCTCTCTCGTTCTGTTTCTAATTAAACTGGCCCGTAAGACACTGCCTGTAAAGAACCCCAAACATACCTCAGACTGCCTGCCCCTCCTCATTCTTTAAGAGAGAATGGCCTTTTTGTTTTCTGTCCTCGCTCCTTGTAAGCATCAGATTAAACACAGGTATGGTGTCTTTGTTACCAGCGTTGTTTCCTGTCGGTGGCCGTTCAGAGAGTCCTGCATTACACAAACTTGCCAGGCGAGTTAATACAAACTGACGTGGATTTTCACAGCTGCGCCGTTCCCATAGCGATCACTTTTCATGTGGTCTGGATATTGGGTTTCCTTTGTGCCGAGAAGGCTGCACCTCCTTCCAGGAGAAGCCCCTCGTTTACTTTCTTGGCTCCCTTCCCTGTCATTCACCATCATCTGCAGACCAAGCGTTGATACTTGGAAATGACAATTCCAATTATGCCTTGTTGCTATATGAGAATGTTTTCTTAACGCTTACTCAGCACGATGTTTTTATCCTGAGTCATGTCTGAATTGCTGCTGTTTGGATCGAAATTCTTTGGAGCTAAAAATGAGTTCTAGAAAATTCTCCTTTGATATTTGTGAAGTCATTTTTTTCTTCATTCTCAAGAATTTCATACATGTATGCAATGACACATGATCATATCTTCCTCTATTTCCCCTCTTTAACTCCCCTCAAATAGTCCCCCAATACAGCCCCCTCCCAACTTCATGCCCTCCCTTTACTAACCTCAATCCCATTAGCACTTTCCATGTGTGCGTGGGTGTGGAGGCCTCCATCCTCTGGATTCTAGGAAACTATCAGTGGCCACACATTCAAAAAAGAATGACTCTTCCTCTCCAGCTGCTGTCAACCCACTGTAGCCCCCCAGTAAGGAATTGGGGCCTGGAGCCAGCTCGCCCATCTGTGCTGGAATTTTGGTTAGATTTGTGCCCCTCAGGACTCTTGCAAGTAACCATGGCTTCTCTGGGTTCATGAGGGTGATCACCGTGCCAAGTCCAGAACTTCAAATTCCGTGGCTCTCCTCATGCTTCAGCTCTTACATCCTTTCTGCGTCCTCTCCCGTGGTCTTCCCAGACATGGTGGTGATATTTAGAAGGGTGTCCCACTGAGCACTGAACCTCTGGCTCTTGGTCCCTTGAGGTGATGTTTTCCTTCAGTGGTTTCCCCAAGAAGAAAGGCTTAACCCTGCTCTTGTCTGGACTTAGCTTCATACAGCCGCGGGGGGTAGGTGGAGCAGGCTGCTGTCTGTGGGTAGCAAACCTGTTTATTAACGTGATAGTGACACTGTCGCTGTCATCGTGTGGCCAGAGTTGAAGAAAGACATGGGCCTCTGCTCCTGTGTCTAGGAAGGTGGCATCCTTGTCCCTTTCAGCACGGCCACACCTGTTTGCTCTCAGCTTGGGACGGAGCTGCGTGAATTGTTCCACTCACATGTTTGCAGGGAGGTGTGGGTGCTGAGGGGTTGTTTTCTTGTTTTCATTTTAATTTCTGTCTCATTGTCTCACGGAACTTCCTTAAATGGTGGCATCTACCGCCAGAACTTAGAGGCCTTTTGGACACATGTACAAATTGCTTTTCAGTTCTGGAGTGTGAACGACTGACAGGCCGACAAGTATGACTGTGAACCAGGAATCCTGAAAAGCTGTCCCAGAATGATGCATTCAGGCAATGTATTAGCAGCAGTGTGTCACTTAATTTCTTTCTCTCCTTCATTTCCAATTAGAATTTTTTTTCAGTAACTTTGAATGTTGGTACAGTTTTTAAAAGATGTATTATTTTATATGTGTGGGGTGGCAGAGCGGAGAGCCTGTGGAGACCGGAAGTATCAGATCCCCTAGAACTGCAGCTACAGGCAGTTGTGAGCAGCCTGGTGGGTGCTGGGAACTGAACTCCGCTCCACTGAAAAAGCAGTCCGTGTTCTTAACCACTGAGCATCCCTGGTCCTTCTGAAACACTTTCACACTCACAGAAAGTGGGGCAGGCGATGGCTCAGCGGTTAAGAATGTTGGCTGCTCTTACAGAGGACCTGGGTTCAATTCCCAGCACCCACATGGTGACTCCCAACAATCCATAAGTCCAATTCTAGAGAATCCGACTCCCTCTTCTGGCTTCTCTGGCACCAGACATGGTGCACATACATTCAAGAAAAATACTCATATACATAAAGTAAAGTAAATGCATCTTTTAAAAGGAAAGGATAAACAAACTTACAGAAAAACTGCAGAGTCAGCGCCTGCGTGGCCTTCACCAGAGCCTCCAGATTCCACCATCGTCCTCTCTGCTGCCCCCCTCCTCAGCTCTGCCCCTTCTCGTTTCTTTCTCAAATTTTCCAGAGTCAACAGGGAATTGTTCCTTCCCAAGCAAACATCTCCCTGTGAATTTCCTAAGAACAAAGAGCCTCCCTCACCAACACAGCACACAGGAAGCGGAGACTGCTGAGGGTTAGCAGTCGCTGCACCCGAGCCACGGGCTGTATTTCAGACAGTGTCGTCTATCCCGCCTGTTCTTAATGGGGTTCCCACCTTCCTCCTCCTCCTCCCGGATGAGGACCCACTTCAGGGTCAGACCCGACCTTTATAGAGTTGTGACAGTTTCTTTTGACCTCCCTCAGCCTGGGAGAGGTCTGTTTACTCTCCTTTTCCTCGGCTCTGCCCTCATTGCCATTGTCCATGATGTTTGTAGACTCTCCCTTGGTTTCCATCTGTCTAAGGCTTGTCTCTGAGGAGATTCAGGTTATGAATTTGACAGGAAGACCAAAGAAATGATGTGCCCTATGTCTGGAGGCATGTGACATGTTTTGTTGCCACTGGTGGTGTTAACTTCTTTCTGTGAGGAGTAGTTCCCTTTTCCAACAGGGAGGAACCTATGGTTCTGGAACCTGGGTCCCCTCATCCTGAATAGATGGACTTACCTGCTCTCATCTAGAATACACAGAAACTACAAAACAGCGAGTCCCTGCTACTTCAGAAAATGGTGCTAGGGAGATGACTCGGTCTGTCGGTATAGTGCTTGCCATGTGAGCATAGTGGCCTGAGGTGGGATCCCCAGCATCCACACAGAGCCCAGGTGCAGTGGCATGCACCTGCGACCACAGTGCTGAGGGAGAGCAGGGCAGGGACAGCTTCAGACGCAATGGAAGACCCTCTCACAAAAGGTGGAGTGTGAGAGAAAGACAACCCAGTGTTGACCTAGCCACCACATGCATAAACACACTTATGTACAGGTACCCATAGGCCCATTACACACGCACACACACACACACGCGCACACACACACACACACACACACACACACACACAAATTCCAAAAGAAAAGGAGCATAGTATGTAGAGTTCCATCTTTATCATGGTTCTTTTTTTCTTGTCTGCTTCCTAGAATGGAATGCTCTCATCCTAAA